CCCACAGCAGATGTCAGCACTTAAGAGTTAAAGAGACAGATAGCTTTATTCATAAGCAAATACCCTCACCCAAGATCCAACAAAGGCAGAATTAGCCCTCAGCCACAGTAAGAATTGCCCAATGCCCCTTCATTGCATCAGCAGTCCAAATTTCAAGCAAGCTTAGCTCAGACAATCTACAAAGCCAGCTATGACCCCTATATAACCCCTACAACACCCAGTAGAATATATGTACTTGCACAGGAACAGGAAGTTCAAGTGCAAAGCCCAAGAGAAGGTATAAATACTCTTCACTCTCGACTCCATGTGGTCAGCTGTCCAAAACTACCCATGTAGTTCTGCTTCATCAATACATGGACCCTCTTTCCAATCGGCCTCCAGTCTCCATTTTGTCTCCAGTGTTTTTCTCCCAGCTTTGACCTGGACCTGGATGTTTCTTTCAACAATAGCTTATTACAATTTTGCATCATAAAATTTGGTTGTGCAAAATAAGAACAAAGCTTAAAAGCTCCCTAGCTTTCAACAAACTAGCATCCCTGTGTTTCAGGACTAGGGGTTCCATCTATATACACATATGTTTTAATATATTTGAGCACTTAAACTTTTTAAAAGTAATAAAAATACAGATATCCTGTAAACCTGACAGTCAATGTGGTGCCATAAATAGAAATGTCAGATCAGTAGTATATAAACTGAGTTCAAAATTCTACTCAATTATCAAGCTCATTTAATAATTTTAATCCAGTTAATATGATTTGGGCTAACCTCCTTGAGAAACTGCTGGAAGTTAGAGGAGGGGAAGGAAATATCATGGATCAAAAATATATTTGGAAGATAGAGAAGTAAGGAGATTTATATAAAACAAGCCTATGTTGATTTCTGTGTATGGATGTAGAATTGGAAATAATAATAATTGAAATGAAGAAGGTCTTAGTTTTAAGGGAAGACTAAATAAGAAAACCCATGTGTCACCTCAGGCTGTTTGGTAGTGTCAGTACCAATGAATAAAAATAATCCACAAGATCACTGATATTGCCAACAAAACAACAGAATAATCAGTATTTCCTAACACAGTGTAATAATATAAACATTTCTTAATATTAGCACAAGAATAATCTCAGCGTATAGAAAATAAGGAGAAGGTTCTTCTGGTTTTATAAACAGAAAAATAATAATAATTAAGGGTCTTCCTAAGTTTTAAAAGATGTGACTCCAGATGTTTCAAGAGGGAGTCAAATTCAGAGTAAGTGAACTATCTAGGTAATAACTGTATATTTTAAAAGCTGCTATTCTCTCTAAGATGTCTATCTTAAAATAGTTCTGGAGCTGGCAGTCCTTCAATCAGCTGGCAGTATCTCCAATCAGAATCTTCTTATAGTTGTTCAGTTAGATAAACTATGATGGTTTTGTTGAAACTTCTTTTTTCTTCTCCTAGAATCTGAATATATATATATATATATATATATATATATATATATATCTGAATATATATATATATATACATATATATGTTTTCTGAGGTTCTCGCGGGTATTTGTATGTGGATCTTTGGTTATTCGGGTTTTCTCCCGCGTAAGATTGGCAGTATCTAGGCAATGTTTCGATGAAGTCTCATTCATCATCTTCAGGCTTCTGAAATATATATATATATTTCAGCTTTGTTCGGGTATTTTCCCACGTCATTGTAGTTGTGCTTTTAAAGTTGTAGCAACGTTTTGGCAGAATGTCATCTGCCATCATCAGGCTTCTGTATAGTGATCGTCTGTGAGTCAGACTTTTACAGTGGTTTCAGTTTTAAATTTGGGGCTAGCCTATTGCTGTGCCAGAATGGTTTTTTTCTTCATCTTGATTGGTTGGGAGTCTTGGCCTGTGTTTATTTGTCTTGGAGTTTGTTGTGTTCTGCTTGATTGGTGTTTCTAATATCTTCTGTCTGTTCTGTGGCTTTTTTTGCCTTGATTGGCTGGCAACGTTGTGTTCCTGTATTGGAGGCTTTTAGTGCGGCTTGGCTCCAAGTAAATGGCATGCTATCTAAAAGCCTCCAATACAGGAACAATACAGAAGCCGTACCGCAGCTGCATCACTACCCGCTTCAAACCCCTCCAACCCATACATGAAGCGAACTGATGCCCACCATGAATATGTGGCACGACCACGAATGTGAAGCCAAACAACAGGATCACAGCTCACCAGCTCAAATCCTGCAGCAATTAAGACTAACCTGAGCACAACCAAGCCCCCACCTGAACAGAACACACCCCCAGCCAATCAGAACACAGCCAAGCCCCCACCCAATCAAGTCACACCCCCACTAGCAGTTAAAAGGAAGAAGCAGCTGCAAGCTCACATTACTCCGAGAAGCACAAAGCCGAAGACACAAGCCTGAAGATGATGAATGAGACTTCATCGAAACGTCGCCTAGTTACTTCCAATTTTACGTGGGAGAAAACCTGAATAACCAAAGATCCACATACAAATACCCACAAAAACCTCCGATATATATATGTGTGTGTGTGTGTGTGTGTGTGTGTATGTGTGTGTGTGTGTGTGTGTGTGTGTGTGTGTGTGTGTGTGTGTATATATGTGTGTGTGTGTGTGTGTGTGTGTGTGTGTATGTATGTATGTATGTGTATGTGTATGTGTATGTGTGTGTGTGTGTGTATATATATATATATGGCATTGTTTCTGCCCAATTCTGAACAATTTCAGAATTGTTCTTGATGATCTCCAGTTTTCTTTCATTTCAGTAATATAATTAAGAGAAATTGGTCATCTATTGATACTATTTCAATCTTTTGAAACCATCCAGAGATTCACAGGAAAATTCAGACTTACTTTCTGTCCAGAAAGAGAAATCAGTTCTCTTCTACCAAAAAGATGACCTACCTACCCTTTCCTGCAATTGGCATTTTTATGTACAGCAGTGTAACCTCTGTCTAAGTCACAGAATGACTTTGACTTGAGTGATCGACAGTGCCGGGAGTTGTGCAGCTGCTGTTTTGGTAATGGTGAAAATTTTGATCCTACAGGAGACATAGTGATCAAATGCTCATCTGATACTAATGTACAGGCAGGAAAAAAATGTCCTCTGGCAAAGTGGAAGAGGTAACAAGACTATTCTGATGTATGTTTTCTCTCTGAATATTTGGAGAGGAGAGAGAAAGAGGGTTATACACCAGCCTGGCATTCATTATATAGTTTGATTAAAAAAAATAACAATACGGTGGTAAAGAGGGATTGTGTCCAACAGATCTTTGGATTACCCGTAGCTTGAATTCAAAAGCCTCCTGAGTTATTGGTATGCATAAAGGTCACGATAACATGAGCCAAGTGAAGAATGATTTTCGGTGCCAAGATTGCTTTGTTCCTATGATAAGCAGCTTGAGGTCCATGAAAGCTGCAAAGCTGAATCAGTTTTAGTTATAATAGAAACCAGGGCTGGATTCAGGGTTAAGAAGACCTGTTAAAAGTTGCTTGGAACCCCCTTTTATTCTGATGAAACCTTTCCGATATTGCTGCTGTTCCCCTGTCACCATTATCTACATTTTCCACAATGGCCTAAATATGAGCTATTAAAATGGGAAGAAGGAAGGAAGGAAGGAAGGAAGGAAGGAAGGAAGGATATTAAAAAGACAGAATATTATATTTCCCTGGATGAAAAATTGAGAAACATGCTCTTGGAAAGCAGCCCCCACCTTCCTTAATAGCGCTCATCAAATGTCAGTACTTAAGAGATAAAGAGATAGATAGGTCTATTCATAAACACTCAAGATCCTTCAAAGATTGCCCTCAGCCACAAAAGAAATTGCCCAATACCCTTTCATTGCATTACCCTCAGAAACTTCAACCAAACTTAGCTCAGACAAACGCTAAGATTTGTACATGGTCCCATGGGAGTCTGACAACAGCCAATAGAATACATGTTCTTGCACAGGAACAGGAAGTTTAAGTGCAAAGCCCAAGAGAAGGTATACATATCCCCCTGACTCTCAACTCCATTTTGTCAGCTGCACCAGAACCATGTGCTTGGTGGTTCTGTTCATCATTAAACCTTCTTTCCAATTAGCCTCCATGTTTCCAGTGTATTTCTCCCAGCTTGAAACTGAACCAGATGAATATTTCTTTCAACAGAAAGGGAGGGAAGGAGGGAGGAGATGGGCTGTGTTTGGGCTTATGGAGGTGTTAGAGATAGACTTGACAAGGACACAAAGCAAAATAAGGAGCAGACTGACCCATTAAGATAACAATGCTCAGATCTGTCCATTCCTTCTGCTGCAAAATGAAAAGCTATCAGCTTCTTAAAACTGAGGTGAGAAAGCGATCAAAGAAAAAACAGAAAGTCCAGTTGCTTCTTGATAAAATACCTTTGGAACATTTTAGTGCTGTTGTAACTTTGAGTAGTCACAAAACAAGGTTGATGACTATCTGTAGTACTTTATTTGTAACACCTGCTCCATTCAGTTTGGCCACACTGTCAACAACCCTGTCAGTGGTCATTGGATCTCGCAAGGCTTTTCAAACTTTCATCTTGTCTTTGTGGCATCCCCAATGTGTTTTCTCACACCATTGGTTGTACACCGTGCATGAAGCCCAGGAAGGACTGGTTCTTTGAGAAGTCATTGGATGGCATGAACCTAGGCACATATTTCCTTTTCCCATTTTCCATCTCATAATACCCTGTTTTGAGTGAGTGAGATGGGAAATGAATCCCCTTGCCTGACATTTAGTGCGGACAGGGAACTTCATTTTTGTCCCTCTGGGTTGGAGAGCCTAGTTCAAACATGGGTGAACTAGAAGCTACTGCTGTGGGGATTAAAAAGATGCTTATCAGATGGTGACACAGCAGTGTTCCACTGAAAAGAAAAAGGCATTCAACTCCAGCCAGGACTGCATGCTTCATTGCTTTACAGAATGCCTGCCTTTATAGAGTGAAGCTGGGAGAGACGAGGAGAAGGAAGAGAGAGAGATCCAGCAAGTAACTTTTGCCCCTCTCTTGTTTTCAGATGACACAGGTTGCCCCAGTAGCCAATCAGTATCTCCAGTTAAGACTCCACCAGATACAGGAAACAGTCCAATCGTTTTCTGTACAGGCAGTGATGGGGGAGACTATGCCAGAAAGAAATTTAATTCAGGAACGGTGGCAGATGGAACTCATCAGCCGGCTCGATATAAAAAGGAAGCAAAGACAAACCTCATAAAGCCAGGTAAGAACTACCTACTTTTTTAAAAAAAACGTATCTTTTTCTCCTTGTAAGATAAATTTTATGGAACTATATCCATTAAAATTCATTTACAGCCAATCAAAAAGAGTCTACATGTATACATATTTGTGATCTTCTGGATTTTTATAATTTAGAAAGAGACAGGCTTTAATGGCTTACTTTGGTGTTCTTCGTATTGTGTTTAAAGTATTCTTTAAATAAAGATCTACTTGGAAATTACATACAGAATGAAGCATGCGTATTGTATTATGAATGGTGATGTTTTGTAAAAAGAAAAACTGGGTAGCAAAAAGGAAATGCTTAAAATCTGTTCTTAATACGAGGTAATGTTTAAATGCTGTTGTGATGCCAAGAGATTTTCATTGCTGGGATGTTCATTGACAAAAGCCAACCTGGTCTTGGTAGGATTTAGTTTGAGATTGTTTCATCTCATTAAGATTCTAACAACTTTTGCACACCAGTTTAGGCTTTTTATGGCATTTTATGGGGGTGGTAATATATAATACTTCTTGGTATCACAACAGCAAGAGGAAGTGATGGTCAAGGGATCTTTGCTCAACTTTAGCTGTTATGCCACCCTACCTGAACCTGGATTACAGCCTTGGGGTGTGCAATTAGTAGTCTAAATTCATATTTAGACTGATGTGCTCCATGTAAATAACCTTTGGAGATTATTTGAAAACTACAAATGGTCCAGAATATGATGGTCAGATAAACTGGTGAAATCCAACCAATATCGGATAAAACCAACTTTGAGGTTATTCATAAGCTTCTGGGTAAAATTTGGAATGCTGGTAATTAGGATCCTTAATGGAATGCCACCAGTTTACCTCAGGCACTGCCTTACCAAGGTTAATTCTACCTATCCAGTCCAAAGATCTTGAGAAGTCCTACAGAGAGTTCATATCCTGTACTCCTCAAAAAAGGACATGGGACATGAATGAAGTATCTGGCTATTCTATAAGATATCCGCCCACCTGCAATTCAAAAAGCACTCATTGCTTTTTTGCAAAGCATTAAACACATTTTTGACTCATTGGATAAGTGTCTGAACTCAACTGATTAATATGGATAGTTTCTGATGAGATGAGCCCTATGAAATGTCAGACAGGTCTTCACTATAAATTAACATCAGAAGATCTCTGATGACAAAACAGTGGGAAAAATAAAATACTATGCAATTTTTTAAGGAATTATCCTACCACTCTATCATTTGCAGCACTATTCTGTGTGTATCTTCTCAAAAGTAATTCCCAGTGAGTAATTTCATAACATTGCAGTCTTTTGACCTCATTAAAGCCATATTTAGTCATTCTTGGGGTAGATATATTGAAATTAATGAGATGGGGGTCCAAAATGTTTTGGATACTAGCAAATACTAGCAATTACAGCTGCAGACTGGAAGTTTCAGATGAATTGAAAATAAGCCTCTGGATGTGAAAGACTATTAACCACTTTTAGACTGATTAAACAATCATGGCCCCTTTTTTATGTTAGAACTGTGATCATTTATTTGCAGAAAGAGTTTACAGTCTGTAGGATGCTATGGTAGACTTGATACTGATTCAAGAGCATCCCTTTCTATTCTTGGGAAAATATTCTGCAAAAGGTTTGCAGAAATTGACATTTTAAAAATTGTGCTTGAATTTCTGCTTTTTGTTCTCAGCTGCAGAGATCAGCAATCTGGTACAAATAATGTTTGTGCTTAAATACAGAATGTGCTCAGTTGAATAGAAGCCTTGACATGGGAATAATTGACTGTTTGGGGGTAATAGCTTTGCAGCACATCTACCAAAATCCTGCATTGTTCATTCTTAACTGAAGATTTCAAAGATAGCTTTCATTTCACAGTTAATCTATTACTGAGAAATGTTCGCCCGTTTTCATTTCCACTTATTTTTCAGTTCAATGCTTTGGATAATCACATGCAGAATAAAATCCAGATGTGTGATCAGACATCTGTTATCCATATGTTTCTATCACTGATTCCAGTTTTGCTGAGTGCATAAGCCCATGCTTCGTGGGTTTGTCAGGAAGGAAACAGAAGGCAATGTTTAAGGCATTGCTCAAGTTATTGATGTTAAAGTTAGTTCCACGGAAGTATATAAATAAAGCAGCTAACTTTCACTTTGTTCCATTCAATTCACTAGATTTGGAATAAAGATGGTTTTCATTTAGTGACCACAGCTGAGACCAGCAACTTGATCATTAAGCAAAGCAATCCTTTAATGAAATTGTCAATATATAAGAGCCATGGTGGCACAGTGGATAGAATACAGTATTACAGGCTAATGCTGCCCACTGCCAGGAGTTCAATTCTGACTGGCTCAAGGTTTTCATCTTCTGGGGTCAATAAGATGAGGACCAGATTGTCTGGGGCAATGCTGACTTTATAAATTATTTAGAGAGGGCTGTAAGGCACTATGAAGTAATATATAAGTCTAAGTGCTATTGCTGTATTTATGATCTTACTTCAAGAAAGGTTATAAAGGCAAGGACTGATTGCAAAGTTATGTTTTCATCACTGTTCGTAACTGCGAACAAGCCATCACTAAACGAAGACTAGCTGTAATGTGTTTGAGATACAGGGAGGCAAATTCTCAGGAAACATTGGGAAAAAACTTTGTGACAGTAAAAATAATTTGACCATGGAATCCATTATCCAGAGAGATGGACAGTTCTCTTTCACTGTTCACTGTATGTTCAGTGAAGGTTGGAGAGGCTCTTGCCAATATTCGTTTTTCAGGTAGTCCTCAACTTAGGACCATTCATTCCACAACCTTTAGAAATTATGATGGTGCTGAATGAAAGGATTTATGACCAATGCTCAAAATTAAGGCTATTTTAATGCTCCCACAGGCACGTGATTGGAATCTGGGCTTTTGACAATTCTCTTGTACTTACAATGAGTTGCCAAGCCCTCTGAAATCATGTGACCACCATTTGCAATCTTTCCTCAGAATATCGACAGAGAAGCTGGCAGAGAGGGTCATAAACCACTTCCTTCGTCTGGCAAAGACTGCACAGCATGCCAGTTTTTCTCCTCTCCTTGAAGACTTTCTAGCCCAGGCAGGGAGGAGAGCTGGCATACTATACCAGTGTTTCTCAAAATTAGCAACTTTAAGATATGTGGACTTCAACCCCCAGAATTCTCCACATGTGGACTTCAACCCCCAGAATACAACATGGCTGGCTGGGGAATTCTGAGGGTTGAAATCCACATATCTTAAAGTTGTCAAGGTTGAGAAACACTATACTGTAAGCCCTGTGCCAAAAAAGGGAAGGGTTGGCCATTGCTTATTTTGGGATTTTTCTCACATGTTCACTACTTCTGATTTCCTGCCAGCTTCCCCAGTGACTTTGCTTGTGAGAAGCTGGCAGGGAAAGTCTCAGATCTTGTGATCATGAGTTGTTGAGATGACTGCTACATTGGTGGCTAGTCATAACTATCACTCTTTCAGTGTAGTTGCAAGTTTGAATAGTCCTTAAACAAGGACCCACTGTGTTTATGGTATCTCATTAAATTAATGTTCTTTCTCCTTCCTTTCTTCTTTTCCCTTTTTGTGGGTTGCTATTCTTGCCCCCTTCTTTTGCCTTTTGTTCAAAATCTTATAGTAAGGAAATAATTCAGACATTTTGTATGCAAATTGCTTGAGGCATGGCCTACAGGAACTTCAGCTCTTGCAGTGCCCTAAAGCTGTGGTGTTTCCTCCAGAGACTTCCAAACAGTGCTGCCAAATAAGAATTTTTAAAATGCTAAAAGAGAAAACATATTTAATACTTGATTAAGGAACAGTAATCTTACTTGTATTTTAACTTTAATCTAATCAAATAACTTTACATTTAAAGGCCAAATGCAGCTTTTAAGCCAAAACAGTTGGACATTCAGCTCTAAAATATTTGTCTTTAGGCTTGTGCTGTTGGGATTATTTTTGTACTTCTCATTAGATTGTCTTCTCTGTTCTAAATAGGCGATTGACTAGTAAGAGAGGACAGTATTGATAATGGTTTCTATATCAGAATTACAAGGATTCTTTGCGCCCTTTCAGTAGACATGCCCTTAAATCTAGAGAACTGAAGACCTTCAGAGGGCCAAACAGGCATCACAGCTTGATATATACATTATAGTGTTTTTTTTTAATTTTTGTTTTACTTGTGCTTCAGGACATTGCTGCAGCCACTAATAACCAGTTGCACAGAGCACAAATAAAATAGATTTAATTTGCTCCTAACAGGCAGCCTTTTCCTATTGGTCAGCTTCTTTTGACTTGCTTTGTCCCTTGTCTTCTCTAGCACCTTTGTCAAAGGGAATGTGAGCCTTTTGATGAAGCTAGCCTGCAGAGCATAATAATGGGATGCACTGCTACCCATGAGAATATTCAATTGCTGATAGGCTAGTTTTTAGTCGAATCGGTTGCTATGGTACTGGCTAGGTTTGCTTACCAGTTACTCTGATGTGAGGAGTTACTAAGTGATCTGTCTCCATGGAGACACCAGGATAAAACTATGCTCCACAGAATACATAAATTACACATCCCTTTACAAGAGAATCTTACGGGCTTTTTTTATGAAGAGTTTCCCACCCACCCCTCCCCATTCTGGAAATCTTGAGTAAATACACAATCCCAAATGTAAGCAAAAGAGGCCAGTTGTTTAAATTATCTTCTGTGTAAGGTCTCATTTTTGCAGTTTGAACAAGTTACCTCTAGAAATCACTCAGAAATGATGAGAGATTTTGATGGTGAAGGTTCCCTGGTCTTTTTGGCCTTAGTGTGATTGTTACAAAGACAAAAATCAATACCCATTTCTGTTCTGGTGGCATCATAAACTACTAGGAAATTAAAGCAAGAGGAGTATTAAAACTGAGAAGAGGGCATGCTTTTTCTAGTTCAGATTGAAAGCATTGTGATTCATGGGGAAAATAGATGTATTTTCTTGTTTAACAATCTAGGAAGACTTTGAGCCAACATAAATATGAAACTGACCTATAAACACTTTACTTAATCCGTTGTTTATTTTAAAATATCCAAAAGGTTGACTCAGAGCATAGTTTCAAGCCTGCTTGTTTATTTTTCTTGTTCTTCTTTTGCATTACTGAACATTTTTCCCATGTGATCACACTATAATATTTTTCCAAGTCATTACAGTATAAATCCTGTACACATAGAAGTCTCTCTGTCTGTATCCTTTGCTGGAATATTTTAACTCTGGTTTATTCTTTTCTGGCTCAGTAGTTAATCCCTACCAGTTAGTTAATTCAGTAAATCAAAATTAATATTTTATCACATTGCATTCTCACAGCAGATAGGTTTCTTCATTCCAAAGAGCCACGAATAATACTATGGATAAGTTGAATAATTGTGTTAGAAGAAATGAGGTATGCCTGGTCTACAAAGAAAAGGAGTAGGGGTCACATAATAACAGTCTTCCAGAACTTGAGAGGCTATCTAGAGAAGAGGGGGTCAATTTATTCTCCAAAGCACCAGAAGGTAAAACAAGAATAGAGGGAAACTTATCAAGGAGAAATCCAACCTAGAACTAAAGAGAAATTTCCTGACAGCTAGAACAATTGTTCTAATCAGTGGAATGGTTTGCCTCTAGAAGTTGTGGATGCTGGAGGTTTTTAAAAAGAGATTGAAAAGCCATTAAGTATAGGGTCTCCTACCATGGTCAAGGGGTTAGAATAGAAGACATCCAAGCTCTCTTCTAACCCTGTTGTTCTATGTTTTATGAATCAATTCTCCCTGGTTCTTTGTCTACACTCTACAGGAAGTTCAGTCGAAGGAGATCCAACCCTATTATTCTATGTTCTATTGCTATCAGGAATCTTCTTATTCATGATAGTCCACTGAAGAGATTGAGCTGCAGCCGGAATAACATGCCACTGGCTCCAATCCATTTAATTTAATACAGAAGAGCAGTCTTCGAAAGAAACATTTTAAACACTATACTATGAAGTCATGGTTATGTGGCATAGATTCACCTTTTCCATAGACCATGGCAGTGATGCAGTGACATCAATAGAGAAAGAACATGTGCCTTTGTCACTTGTTTGGGTTTTTTTTAAAAAAGTTATGGCAAACACAGAGATTTGATGTGCCTGTGCTATGCTTTCTTTTTAAAAAAATCTTTTAAAAAATGGTATCACTTTAAAGTTAATGTTTACATCTGAATTTGGGGAGTGCAGTTTTAGACGGCTGGAAGTAGACGGTATGCCCTCTCTGTATCAAGTAGATATTTAATTATTTATTATGGGAATTTATATGGCTCCAACCCATCTTAATCAGATTGAATGGGTGGCTAAAGGCCATAAAAGCTGAAACACATAAAAGCAATAGGATAAAAAAAACAATACAAGACACCGGGCAAAGAAAATCTTAATCAACCACAGCAGAAAACACAATATATTTTTTAGTTTGATTGCAACTTTGGGCTTAGATCCAGAGTTCCTTGGGAAAATGTTCCAGAAATAAACCTGTATAGCCAATGGAGTTGGGGGCCATAAAGGAAAGAAAGAATCGTCAAAAACCTACTGCCAAGCATGATTTTTCTCCTAGCTGGAAACTCCTCAATATCTAAAAAGAAGTCCTTTTCAGGTTAGGAACACTTTGGATTTTTTTTTAAGGGACTGCCTCTTTGGGAACAGCTATTATAAAGCACCAGGTACATTAGCATGTCAATTGATTCCATTATTCCTACTAAACAAAAAGGACCCAAGCAAACAAATGGCTTTCAAGTTCAAGAAATGAATTAAAATGTGTTTTTTTTAAATTACAATAGACTTCTCTACCAACGAAAATATTCTCAGGGTGGTTCATAACAATGAAAAAGAAACCAGTTATTTTATTTGTTTGCTTAATTGTTTAATTTGTAGAAGAGCTATTTTTATCTTGGCTCTTTATTCCTCGGGAAATGTTAAAGTATCTGAAAATGGGATCTGCCCTTCCAGTTTTGCAAATTGCAGGATGAGAAAGTTTCAAGCCAGGCAGATGATGGTGGTGATTCATAGTGAGGCTTGCATGTCATAGGTTAATCTTTTGAGTGAGAAATTTCCATCAAATTTATTCCTCCCTTTTCCTTTTTCAGGAAGCGAAGCTGATTTTAGTTCATCGAGTAGTACAGGAAGCATTTCAGCTCCTGAAGTCCACATGTCTGCTGGTTCCGGAAACAAAAGATCATCATTTTCCCGCAAGTATGTCACATTTTACGCCCTTTCATCTGGGTTATTTATAATAAGTGTGCACCTTACAAGTATTCCTTGACTTATGACCACAACTGAGCCCAAAACTTCCATTGCTAAGCAAGACTATTGTTAAGTGAATTTTGCCCCGTTTTATGCTTCTTGCCACAATTGTTCAGTGAATCACTGCAGTTGTTCAGTTAGTGACATGGTTGTTAAGTAAACCTGGTTTCGCCATTGACTTTGCTTGTCAGAAGGTTGCAAAAGATGATCACATGACTCTGGGACATTGCAACCATCATAAATACATGCCAGTCGACAAGCATCTTGATCATGTGACCATGTGCAACAATCATTAAGTATGAAAAAAATATGAAAAAATAAGGAAAATAATTTAAATGGCCCCTTCTATCCATGCATGCATTCCACAGTTGCATCTCTGATCTGTCAGTAGAAAGAAGAATCTTTTACATGAAAATTATTATCTTAAGACTTTGTTAGAGGACAGGATTACCTGGAATCCATGTTTGTAGTTCTGAGAAGCCCTTTAAGTACCAATTCCAAAGATCAGTGATTCATTTTCCTACCCACTTTGAAACAGGGGACACCTGAAAGTTGAAATTTAAATATGGTTAATGTTGTTCTTAAAATTAAGAAAATAGCCCATTCCTCCCCAAAGCAGTGTAGGGTTTAAAAAATGTCTCCTATGATGTGAGAGGGTCACTTTTCTCAGTGTCCCATCAACTGCAGCTTTAGGACCTATCAAAAAATATCAAAGGCAGCTTCAGATCATTAAAAATTACCCACAACTCTCTTAAACTTATAAAACTTCAGCAAAATGTTCATGTCATGGGTTCTGCACATTATTTTTTACAACCCAACAAAGTGAATAATAGTTACAATGCAGAGAACAAGGAAGCAGTTGGCCTTGTTCTCTTCACTGTACACTCTTAATGTTATTAAACCCCTGCCAGCACAACTTTCATCCCATCTGGTGTTGTCAGTTTGAGTAGGTGTCTTGTTGCATGCTGCAAAGTTGTGCAAAGGTGTGACTCCATTGGAGCCACAGAACATTGAGATCTACCAAAAGTATCAGGTTTGTTTGCTTGTTTGTGTCGTTAGTGAAAAATTTCACCACAAGGTTGGGAAATGCAAGTTTAAAACTTCTGGAAGTCCTCAGAAGTTCAACAACAATCCTGGAACCCTAGATAGTCCCCATCCAAATTCTAGCAAGAGCCTACTTTGATTGGTTTTCAGGCTCATTTTCCACTTGCTAGGATCTTTTAACTTAATGGTTGACAAATACATTACAGCAAATGCTTTCATGGATAAAATGATCCACGCCATCAGCTAAGTATTATGAAAAGGACTATAGTCCAAGATAATGTTAGTAAGAAATGAAAGAATTCTTACTTTGTGTTGCAAAGCAGGGTTTGGAAGATGCAGACCTATAGAATATTCATCCAGCAAAGTTGTATATCTAACTGGTCATGACTGGCCTCAAAAAAATCAAGTAGGTTGAACCTGGTAGTAGTGGTCAATGGAGTTGTAGGAGGTGACTAGATTGAGCCCAAGGGAAGGATCAAATGAGTCATCAGTTATGAGTCCCACAAGAGATCTATGTACAATCCACCGTGAATTTGTTCTGACCCAGCCGGGTTCCCAAAGAGCAAACACAGACAAAGGCAGCAACCCCCACCTTTTAAGGTTTAATAACAAATTCTGTTCTGAAGGCTGCTTTCCACTAATTAGCTCCAACAAGAAAGAGCCTTGCCAAGTTGTTTGTCAAGACTGCCAAAAACCCAGAGATAAGAACTAATTACAAGATTCTCCAAACATGAACTAAGATGTCCACCAGTTGAGCTTAAGAGCTTCTTTGCTGTCTGCAAACAATGCTTTTCCAAACCAGGCTTTTATCCTCTTGAGGGAGGGGCCATTACCTCGCAGCCTTGCTCCCGAGTCGCCTGTGCTGTTGTACTTGTTCTTTCCTCCGAGTACTCCTTCGTGCACGGGCACTTGGCACAGGCTCTTCGGGAACCTCCTTGTCACTGCTGCCAAACCCCACAATCTCTGAAGGCAGGAGTCCACTCCCTGATGGTCCTGGCCCTTCATCAGAGTCATCGCTCTCCTCAGCCATCTGCACCTGCTGCCGGCTAATCACAACAGAACTCCTTATCCATCGCCAAATTGCTTTGATTGTTAGTAGTTCAGATTTTTGTAGAGAGCTGAAGTTTACAATAAATCTTGATACCCATTTGAACTGCCTGGATCTCCTGATTTCCCTGGCGTTTGATAGGAGTTTTTTTTTAATAACTATATGGAAGATATTTTGTTTTGCTTTCTTTTAGGGTGTTTTTCAACTTCTCAGTGTAGCTTGCACCCTTGGAATCTCCTGGTTATGTCCTATCCAAGGACTAAACAAGAAGTTGAAAACATCTTGAAGGAAATCAAATGAAAGCAATGTTCATGCTGTCAGGAAGACCTTATGAATCTTTCCAAGCTCAATTCAAGGGAAGTTTCATTTTTCAAGATGCTAATATTGCATTCATTTGTTGGATTTTTCAGTTTTATAGCCAAGAGTTACTTTTTTCAACTGCTGATGGTCTGTTTTACATTTAAACACACATGCTCATACATTCATACTATTTTCAGTATGTTCTGGCCAAGTACAAATTGTGGTGGTTATTTCCCCTCTTTCTAACAAAAATTCTTTTTCAGTGAGAATTGGTTTGAATTACATGAAAAACGTGGCAGCTTCCATTCCAATCCTTCTTTCTCTCAGAAAGAATTCTGGATGTTTGAGTTGGATCTGTTTATCATGATGACAAATCCCAACAAATGAATTGGTTGAGCCAAGGCAGCAAAAGGAGTCCTTGGTGGTCTCTGAGCTAACTTGTTATCTTGCAGAGGTTTCATTACCCAAACTAGGTAACATCAGCAGTACTAGTAAGGAGTGCAGTTTGCTGTCAGTTTATATTCTAGTGCATGGGTGTGAAACTTACCACATCATAGTGCCATCATGTGACGCATGGTTTTCCCTTTGTGGAGCTGGGGTGGGCGTGGCCTGTGCGTGATGCATCTGGCCCACAGGCCACCAGTTTTTCACCCCTGTGTCAGCTTAGAAGCCATTTGCTTGTTTCTCATTCCAGGACGTGATTCTCGCCTGCAGTGGGGAAGCCTGTTTGCTTAGAACCCATTTTTCTTTGAGCTTCTGGGCTGCTACATTCAGTGCCTGGAAAGTTGGGAGGGGGATTTCAAGGAGTGGTGGAAGATTAGTCACAACAACATTCCTTTCTCAGAAAGTCAAGGACATGTTACTCTGCACCTGGAGGGGAGTGACTGGGGCTAGTCTCTAGTTTGAACAAAGTAATGATTGGAACATGTGATGGACTATTGGGTGCAGGCATTGGATTTTGGATTTCCTTTGGACTAGGGAAAACCCGAATCTCAGATTCAGATTTGGGTCTTCTTCAGATGTGCCAATATGACATTGCTGATAACATGGATCTTTGTGAAGATGATTGTCTTGGAGTCTTTTCATTTGGAGGTTGTTACTTGGAACGTTGGCACCCTATTCTAGTGGCTTGCCTATCACTGTCAGAACACATCCGCAAACACCAGTCAGAAGACATGATAAAAATTCTTTAATTCACAGCATGTAGACAGATTTAACCATAGTTTCAGTTGGGAAAATGTGACCATCCTAGACTAAGCCAAATCCAAAAATGCCAGGGAATTTCTAGAAGCCATCAATAGACACATAGGCATTAACAGCATCTATAGCAGTGGTGGTATTTGACCGGTTCTGCCCAGTTCTGGAGAGCCGGTAGCGGCGATAAGCAGTGGAGACCGAACCGGTTCTCTTCGCTGCTCTATGGCTGGCCCAGCCGCCCTCCCGGGCTCACATACTCACTTTTATGGCCAGAATTCAAAGCGCAGCTGCTTTGCACGGCGTAGAATAGCACTGCGCAGCAGCTGCTGCAGCAACCACCTTCGTGCAGACTTGCAGGAGGCAAGTTAGAATGCCTCTGCACCTGCACAAAGTGTGTGTTTGGCGTGCGCATGCATGCAAAAGTGTGTGCATGCGCGCAAAGCGCAGCCATCAAGCCACGCCCACCGAACCGGTGGCAACTTTATTTGAATACCACCACTGATCTATAGGCTATGCAAAAGAGATAATCAGCCAGCCCAAAAAGTAATACAAAAACCCAAGCAGCTCTCCACCAGCAGTCAGCACCCAGATCAACATAGATTAACTCCAAGATTAACATCACACCAATAATCAAGTAAATAATATCCCAATTAAGAAACTGCCAAAAAAGCAAACAGCCCAACCAAAGAATCTCTAAGACCACCCCCACCAATACAGACAGGCAAGTCACCAGAATATAAACTGACAGCAAACTGCACTCCTTACTAGCACCGATGATTGTTACCTAGTTTGGGTAATGAAACAATGTGCAAGAAAACAAGCTAGCTCAGAGAGCACCAAGGAGCCCTCATGTCAGCCCTGGGCTACAAATTTTCTCCTTTTTCCAAGGAAGCAAAGCAAGGAAAACAGAGGTTATGGTTTTACTTTTCTACCAAAGTCCTATACTGTGTCCTTTCTAATGGAGCCTTTGAATCAATGAGCTAAACTCTGCCTGCCAAAATTATCTTGGCCATGCCATGTGTGCGGAACAGAGGCGCTATTTTCTTCCTAGTTTAAAACTGTACGTGTGGCTTTTCTTTTCCCACACGAGGGCCAGAGTTTCATTCAGAGCAATGGTAATGCTATGTCTTCTTCTTCCCTTGTTGCTTCCCTCTCCTTTTCTTGAAACAAATGGGATCAAAGCCACTAACCTCTGTCTTGAAATGCGTCTGTGCTAAACAACCATGCCACCATCTGATGATATAAAGTGTTCCTTGCAATGGGTGGAGGAAACCAATTCAAAGAGATCCCTAATTAAGACTTTCTGCTTCTTGGCTACTGACTTCTCACCCAGGCTTTCTGCCTATTATTTGTCAGCTTATTTTTCTACTTCAGAAGATACAGTTTTAATATTAGATGTGGGTGCATGCATAAACACACACACACACACACACACACGGGGAGAGGGAGAGAGAGAGAGAGAGATTAATTAGCATGTGTAATTTGTTCAGTGTTCACATTAAAAATCTATCATAATAAGTTATAAATATTTATAAATATATTTATTCATCTATAATTTTCCAGTGAATAGATTCTCCAACCAGTCATCAAAGCAAAGTTAGCATGGTTGATTATTATGCCAAAGGCTTGCTGTTGTTATGAAATATGCTTCGAAATCAAACATTTTTTTAAATGGTACTTTTAAGAAATCAAGATGTCATGCCTTCAAAAATTAGATTTGCAGTCAATAGAAAAAAAAACCCAGTGAAAGTATGGTTACAGTTTGGCATGGTGCCTGAATAGACCTTGGATATTGTTTATAAATATTGGATATTTAAATAACACTGTCATTTAAAGCAATTATTAAATAAAAAAGGGCTTTGGGCAATTCCTATTATGGCTCTACCTGGAGTAGATCTCTGTTATGTAAAATAGACTGGCCCAGGCCAGAGTAATGACCTGTCAGTAATGAAACTCAGCCCCCTGGGGGGCTGAGTTTCTGCCTCTGACTTTCTACTTTTCTTTTTAGGGGAAATATTCTGCCTTTTTAGTATATCCTAAAATATTTCATTTTCCTATGATGGGTTTTAACTTCCAACACATGATAAAATTGACCCAAAGAGATCTTGGTAATTATTGTCAAAGGTAATCAGTAAAAACTGTCACAACTTTATGGCTTTTATAAATATGATATAACCCATTGTTGACATTGTTGTCTCCTTCAGCCGGGGGCCTCATGGACGCAATCATGGTTCCTTGCCTTGTAAGTCTGGGTCCAGCCCTCCAACCACAGCTCGTGAGAAGGACTTCTTGTCGATGCTGTGCAAAAATCAATTGAGTCCTGTCAGTCCCCATCAGAATTATGGTGCCTCTTCAGCCAGTAGCAGCAATTCCAGTTCATATAAGGGAAATGATAACAGCCCGACTTTTAGGCAAGTGAACTTCTCCATAATATTTATCTCCTTGTATCCTACCACTTCCCAAATCTTTAAACTCTTTCATCTCTAGCTGCCATTGGAATTTCTCCAGGGCATATTATTTCAAGCACATGAAATCTCTTGATCTTTGAGTTGCTTTGTTTTTGAGCATTTGAACAAGCTCTTCTATTTTTTCTTCTCCTCTGGGAAGAAGGAATCTTTCAAAAGGTCACATTCCTAACTTAATGTCTGTGTTAACTATTTTATTCCTTGGCCTGCATCTGCTTCAGAAAAAAAAAACCTCCTTTGTGTGGAGCCGCTCTTAAGTTCTATTATCTCTGCCCCTACTTGACCTGTTCGGTTGGTTGCTTGTTCTGAAGTTTTTACCAGGAGCAAATGTGTAGCTTCTGCCTTCAATGTGATTAGTCCTTGGACTCTTAATCAATTACAAGGAATAAAGTGAGTAAGCTGTAGCTATGATTAACTTTTGGCTTGTTGAACTAGTAGGACATTTAGGATTTGAATAATGTAATTTTGGTGTGCTTAAGGCAAGACTTCGTTGTGTTTTTTCTAAAAACAACAACAATAACAACGACGATGACAACAACAACAACAACAAGAGAAAACTTGCCTTTTCTGTTGAAGCCAATTCCTCATTGGAAAGTGTTTAAAATTGACCTGCTATCTCCCAAAGATCAATCCAGATATCCAGATTTCAAGAATTGTTTCAACCCAATCTGGCATTAAAACTTTCTTTCTTTTCTTTCTTTTCTTTCTTTCTTTCTTTTATTTCTCCCTCCCTACTTCTCCCCCTCCCTCTTGTTGTGTGTGTGAGAGAGAGAGAGGGCGAGAGAAAGAGATCTTCATTTTTCTAAAAAATGGTGCTTATTCTGAGGTAAATGCATATAGCCCTGTTTCTCAATTTTAGCAATTTTAAGATTTTTGGACTTTAATTCCCAGAATTCCTGGCTGCAGAATTCTGG